TGGTGCTGAGAAAAGAAAATCTCAAGAATAGATATTAGTTCTTATGGATCTTAATAAAGAATGATACTTATACAGTTTTGTAGGGATCTAAAACTTAATTTGAGGAATCCTAATATATTTATCTATTTCACTTGGAGAGGGCAGAGGTGTCCTGGGCCAGTTTTGGCCTTATCCTATTTTACATAAAGAAAGGAAGAATTTAAGGGCCTTTTAAAGGTCAAGATTACTTCTGCCTAGAAAAAACTTCAGCCCACCCTCTATTGTGACCACAGAGGTAAAGCATTGTAATTAATAGTAAGTAATTAGAGCAAAGGGGAGCTGTCGGTTGGGGGACTTCTTAAAAAATTTTATCATATACTCAGGATGTATAGGAGAGCTATGTAATTTTTTTATAGTAGTAAATTGGGGAGTCAGAGAGGGGTCGCTTCCCAGTGAGGCTGCCTCAGTTCTCTGGAGCAAATAGCAAGCAGCCTTGCTGACATGCTAACTGACCCAAGCTTTGTTCCAAGGTCGGAGGGTGCACAACAGTAGCCTTGCCAACGTGTTAATCCGACCAAAAGCAGAGCTCAAAAGTCAGGGGGCTCAGACAGATCCTGGGGCCTCACCGGGTCGGACTCCTCCACTAACCTTCACCCTTGACTTTGGAGCAAGAATCTCTAGACCCTTTGAATGCCATGTCTTGTGGAAGAATCTGTTTCCTGGCATCCTTGCATCACACTGAATGTGAGTTAGGGCCAGGGCTGGCTGTACCAGCTGGTCTCATAATGCGAGTTAGAATGGAGGCTTTGGACCAAGTCATTTCCACCTAGCTTCACGAGGAGCTGGATACTAAGATCAGTTATGAGGGAAGTCAGTCACGCCTCTGTGATAGAGGCCCAGTAAAAACTCCGGACACAAGGCTTGGGGGGACTCTAGCTGGTAGTACCTGAGCACATGCCCATGCATCATTACTAAGAAAGTTAAGTTATGCTGTCCATGACTCCACAGGGAGAAGACAACTGAAAGCTTTGTGTCTGGAATTTTCCTGGACTCTTCCTTGGGTTTAGTTTAATCTGTATCATTCAGTTAAAAAAAACAAAAACAAAAACAACTAACCGTGTTGGCGTGTAACACTTTTCAGTGGATTCAGTGAGTATTTGTAGTAAATAATAAAATCCAGGTGTAATCAAATCCAAACGCTTGCCATTGGTTTAGAAATGAGGGTGGTCTTAGAGATCCCCAAATCTGCAGCTGGGGTCAGAAGTGAAGGCAACTTGTGAACCAATGCAGTTGGCATCAGAAATAGGATTCCCTAGAGTAACCCTGACTCACTGAGACATGATTTAGAAAGAAGAAGGTTGTGAGGTCAAGATGAAGGACTTGGTTCCTGGAAGTCTCTGAGATTACCCACAGGTGTGGAAATTAAGCTGTTCTGAAATCAGTTATAGGAAATAAAAGTTACCAATGGTTTTCAAAATGATAAATCCAACCCCAGGAGCTGACTCAATGCACGCATAAAGAAACAAGATAAAGATACAATCCCTGGGTTATTTTTATCTGTAATAGCTAAAATGAAAATGACTCAATAGATCCTGACACTGGCCCAAGCTTGGGTTCAGTCTGAGTATGGCTGCTGACTTCAAGGCTACTGCTAAAAGGGCAAGTTACGCTGAAACAACAGATAGCAAAGAACACCAAAAGAATGAGGAAAGACAAAGGGGAGACTCAAGGGAATCCCCCCACCGGTGTGGAAATCTTTAAACAGGTATTAAGAAATGGGATGGACCTTGATGGGGTCAAAACAAAGGGCTCAATGCAGTACTCATGGAGACTGAGTGAACCAATAGGAACCCTGGCCAGTCCCCCAACAGTAAAGGGTCTGCTGTATTTACCCTAGTGCGAAGGAGTTCAGAAGACAAATATGACAATGAAAGCCCAACCCCAAGTCTCCTGAGGTGGTGGATCTATAATCTAAACAACACGAAGACTGACAAAAGGGCCTGGGTCTCTTGGCCCCTCCCACAGCTGGAGACCCAAAGCATTAGTAGCAAAATGGGCAAGAGATGGATAAGCAATATTTTGGGGACTCCTAGACATGGGAACCCCATGTGCATGGGATCCAAAACCTATTGATGAAGTCCTAAGGACAGCTATAGTTAGATTGGGAAGATATGGAATTGCAAAATTTGATGAGATTAAGGAGAGATTTGGATGAATATTGGTATGTTTGAACTAACTTTATGTGAAATAGTTGCTTCCTTCTTTGCCTGTATGTATACTGGGGATGGATACTGTGTCTAACTGAGGACTATTTCCCTGACTTATCCTAAAACAGAAAGCACGTAATTCTCTCTTCAACCAACATTGACTTGACACACTAAACAAAAACCAGTAAGATTGCCCAAGTCCACACAGTTCATTGGTTCAAAACAACATAGGATATCTGGTGGAAAAATAGAATATGTTGGAAATCCAGTGTTGGGTTGCTTTATTTGGATTCTGGAGAACACATATTCCACATCCAGGAATATTTCCAGCTTCTGTCCTTAAAACTACTCAAAAGAAGCCTTGAAGTCTTTGTGCAGACTGGAGCTTATGGCAAAAGTCAGTGACCCCTACCTACTGGTGACGGCTTGGATTTTCCACCAGAACATTCCCATCTAAGAGACAACTACCTAGCTATCGGGATTTAATTGAGAGCGACCTTATGACTACAGGACAGAAAATAACTCTGAACTCAGAAGTGCCCTTATGTGCTTGGCAATGTTGGAGAAAGAGTCTAATAAGACCACACCCAGAAGTGTTCTATAATAACATGAAAATGATTTCTACAGGAATATGCTACCAGGAAAATTCACTGCCTATAGAATCCTTTTTTAAAAAAGAACTATTTGTCTAATTTTATTTATTATTATTTTATTTTAAATTTGCTATAGGGCACACATGTTCACCAGAGAGAGAGAGAAAGCAAGCTACCGGGCCCAGGACTCAAATCATAGTCACCATGTGAGAGTCTAGCACGTTAACCACCATGCCACCTGCTGGCCCCAACTGCTCATAGAATTTTAAGTTTATTATTTTCCTTTGGGCACTTTAAAAATATTATTCTATTAAGAGTCTATCGTCTAATTATTATTATTATTATTATTATTATTACTAAAAAGTCATCCGTCAGTCTTAGAGCTGTTCTGTTGAAGATAATACATCTTATATTTTCCTCTCTGGCCATTTTTAAGATTTTTGCCTTGAGTTTTCATCAATATTATTATGATTTACTTAGATGGTTTATTTTTGGATCCCCACTGGCTTTAAGAGGGAACCTAAAGGACCTGGCCCTTGAGGTCTTTCTGAGTGGGAGGGGAGACGGACTGAAAGGCTAGAGGAGAAGGAGACATGGCACCGGGCTTCACAGAGGATCATAGCAGTGTCTCCTGGTCCCCAGATGCTCCGGAGCACCTGATCCTATGTAATTGCTCCTCCTCCAGGTTAACAAAACTTGATGAGCAAACAGCCAGAAACCCCCTTGCTAAGAATACTTTCTGCTCTCCCAACCCCACACTTTCAGTTACATCATCTCATCCCTTCCAAACCATACGGTTCTGACGTCAGAGGGCCTCTCCAGTTCCCACGGACCGGACCGGTGCTGCTAGAGATGGTGCTTCTGCTGCAACCTCTGGGTAAGTCCAACGAGAAGCAGCCCTGGAAGTTTGGAGGAAGCGTCTTGGAGAAAGCCAGGACCCAGGGCCAGGGGTGGGCTGGGTTATGATAGCATGAAAAAAAGAGAACATGAGAACATAAGTATCAAATAACTTCGTGCCAGATTCTGGCAGGCAGGGGTTGCCTGGGGCAAGTAACAGATTGAAACTGAGGGCAATGCCTGATTTGCGAGAGCACAGGGAGCTTTTCAGATACTCCTGGAAGCCTGAGCTCAGTCTGTTTTCTGCATCTCCATGAGGATGCTTTCCCAGACAGGAAAGACAATTCAGGAGATAGCAGTGGAGGGGGCTGTGCATTACACCTCTGAGAATCTCTCCGGAGGGGCCCAGATGGAAAGCCTAAGAACAACAGCTACTGGTTGGGACCAGCAGTTGGCGTAATGGCTATGTCGCTGGACTCCCAGTAGTTGACTGTGGTTCGAGTCCCAGACCTGGTGGCTTAAACTCATGCCGGGCTTGTGTGCATGCTGCCAAGATCCAGAGAGGAAAATGGAGGAGAAAGGATTGTGGTGTGGCCATCCCTCCTTGTGTGTGTGGGGGGATGATTTCTCGCTTTCTGTCTCTCTGTCTCTTTGTCTCTCTCTGTCTTTCTGGCAAGTGCACGTGCCCTATAGCAAAAACCTCTCCCCCCAAAAAAAAGAGCTACTGGTTAGTAACCTCAGCCCAGAGGAAAAGTGCAGTCGTGCACTGTATAATGTTACATTTTAGTCAACAACGGCTGCACATATGAAAGATCTCCGAATGGTTCATGGAAAATGCATATTATGAAGAAATAATGACTGGGTTTCAAAAATAAAATTGCACCAAAATAAAATTGTAATAAAATATAATTAAATTCTATTTTTCTGGTTTTTTCTTTTTGAACTCCCCTTGTTCAACGGTGGCCCCCTGGGGGTCATGTATTCTAGGCAGACAGCAGACCACAACAGCTGGGTTTGTGGAAGCAGACTCTAGGAGAGTCACATGATGACAGAGTCTCTGAAGGACACATTGCTCAGAACATGGCCCTGTCATTCAGAGAGAGCAGCTCCTCATTACTGGGGACCTTGATGGACACGCTGTTTCTCACTCACCCACGCTGTTCAGCACGTGGTCAAGTCGTATGCTCTCCATGTGGAGTGAGGCAGTTTCGATGTTTGGCAGCGTCTTGGCTGCAGGTGGATGCTCAAAGTTCACTATGGTGCAGGCCACAGCACCGGCTGCTCTGCAGTGCTGGAAACCAGGTGGCCGACTGCAGCTTGGGTCTGTGTCCACCTGAAACACGCTGGCTCATGCACGCCTGAAATCTGATTGGCTGGAGGGCCGGGGAAGGAGATGATAACATAAAAAGACCCTGCTAGGGGTACATGTCTCTCTCTCTCTCTCTCTCTCTCTCTCTCTCTTGCTCTCATGAAAGAAACAATTTTTGTTGTTGTTGTTGTTGTTTTAAGGCCAGCTGGGGCTGGGAAGAAGGAAGCTGAGAAAGGCATTCCATCGATTGGGTAATACTTTCCCATGCACTGGGCTAGAGACCCTAAACCCTTAGGACAGTCACACAGCAATGGCAATCTGACAGTCACAGATTCAGTGACTACCCGGTTCTCTAGACTAGGAAACAGCACAGAGAAGGGAAATGACTTACCCAGTAAGGGATGGAGGGAGAGGTTGATCTTAGTGACTCAGAGGAGAATTTGGGACGGGGCGGGGGGGAATGCACTCTCCACCCATGCAGAAGGCTGAGCGTGCGGGTTCAGTGCAGATAAGAAGAGATGAAGAAGGGGAACTGGTCTGTGAGGCCCAAATCCTGTGGCTTTCTAGAGAACCCTCCTTCCTTCTTGCTGGGTGGTGTGTGTTCACTAGAGATACAGAAAGACGGAGAGAGAGAAAGCGACCCCAGTGGGGCA